GAGGGGCAGAGAGAGAGGGAGACACAGAATCGGAAACAGGCTCCAGGCTCCGAGCCATCCATCAGCCCAGAGCCCGACGCGGGGCTCGAACTCACGGACCGCGAGATCGTGACCTGGCTGAAGTCGGACGCTTAACCGACTGCGCCACCCAGGCGCCCCCCTTTTTTTTTTTTTTTTTTTAAATCGTTGTCATTTAGCCAGTTACTTTCGTCTCCAAAAGTGACTTTCAATTCGAATGAAAAAGAATCCTGATATTACCTTTGACTTGCTGGTTTAATGGCTTAAGGGAAAAATATGACTGGGGAGGGGGTGGAAGAGAAAAAACCCAAAACAATGACATAACAGACCACATTGTCTTCCAGCCGCCTCTGGGTTCAAGCCACCAGGAAGGCCCTCGGATAAGAATTGACTTTCCCCCTCCCCTCTCTGCAGGAGCATGTCCCAGAAACAAAACAGGTAAGACACAAGATGGGGGTGGGGTGGGGGTGAAGGCGGAATCCACCTCCTGAAAGCAGAGGTTTGACATGTTTTCTTGCATGTGTTTCTTTCCTCTCTTTATCCTCCATCAGGTGCACATGGGGGTTTTTGACTTTATGAGCTCATCAGCTGGCACTGATTATATTTTATTCTCCAAAGAATGAATGTTTAGAGTTATAGGGCAGACGCCCTCATGTTTGTGGCTGAACAGAGGCATCAACAGACCGTATCTGGAGCCTTCTAGTGCTTACCCTATATGCCCTCAAGTGTTTCCATATTGGCTGAAGTGTGGAGTCTTTGTTGAATCTGTTCCACACCACACAGCTATATCATGCCTTTTTATAGATCTTATCTGATGATGCGCTGACTGTGGCTCCCATATGTATGCATCAAAACATATTAATTCAGTAAAAGATACTTTCTGCTCTGTGTATGCCCTGTACCTTCTGTTTCCCTAAAGGGCAGGGACTAATGTTTCTTGACAACCTTTTATTTTTCTTACCACCTAATATAATATATTACACCAAATAGATGCTCAGTAAATTGAATTTGATTTTTTGTCTTTTGGTTTAACTTCTGAGAATTTTTTTTTTTTTTAAACGCGATGCTTTCAGCTTGGGTAAACTGTAAGCAAGATCTCCACCTTGTGGGCACAAGTGGAATATCATATGTGTATGCACGTTTCACAGGATAATTCATTATTTCAGTTAAATTCTGAGAATGTTAGGCGGCTACCACAGTCCGTGACATGTCCTAGGTGCTATGGGGAAATGAAAAGTAGTCGGCGTCTTTGTCTTTTTAGCTGTTAACAAAAACTATAGAGAACTGCCAGGGATAGTTCACTGTAAACTATGAGGCAAGGAGTCCCTCTTGTCTGTTTCAGGGCTGCCTGGCACCGTGCCTGGCACTTAGTGGGTGTTCAATACGATTTGGTGAATAAGTCATTGGAATGTTAATGAGATTAAGTTTCGGCAAGTGGCATGTTGGTTTTTTTATTTTTGTTTTTTTTTACTTTATTTTTTTTTTTAACGTTTATTTGTTTTTGAGACAGAGAGAGACAGAGCATGAATGGGGAAGGGTCAGAGAGAGGGAGACACAGAATCTGAAACAGGCTCCAGGCTCTGAGCTGTCAGCCCAGAGCCCGACGCGGGGCTGGAACTCACAGACCGCGAGATCACGACCTGAGCCGAAGTCGGCCGCTTAACTGACTGAGCCATCCAGGCGCCCCAGTTTTTTTATTTTTTTAATAAAATCTGTGTACTACTAAAAGGTACAAAATAAGAACTTTCGTTCAGTTTAAAAGGAAAAAAAAATATTGGTGAAGGCTCCACATAATGTAGGAAGAGGAAGCACGTGGCTTTCCTTCAGGGAGAGCTGGCCTCCAACCCAGCGACTCCACATCCCGGAATCTTTCAGTCATGTTCCTGGTACTGACGAAGAAAACTGGGCCTTAAAGAGGTTGGCTAAGCTCTTACCCCTAGGAAGATGGGCTGACCTTATCGTAGCCCTTTGCCCGTAGCTACAGGACTGAATGCACCTCATACCACAATGGGATGCGCTAACAGAAACTTGAACAAATGCACCGAAATGCAGAGTTCCGTAAAACCAAAGGAATAAGCCAAAACCAAAACGCAAGCCCCCAATGGAATGCAGTTTTAAAACGGTCTTTGATGATTTTAGAGAGTATTTAAACACACCCCTGTGTTTTTACCTGTAAGATGACCACACTCCCTCCTGCCTTTACTTCCCAGTCCAAGGACACTCCTCTCCCCCGCTCCTGGCCAAGTCACTGTGGCTCAGACTGTGGGATAGCACAGTCTGATGCTTGCGGGTAAAGGAAGGTGCTGCTCATCTGTCCCTATGAACCTATTTTCACCTTGAAAACTTTCTTAATATTCCTCGGAGCTTCTCCCTGAGCCTTGACTTCCAGTTGCTTCAAATTTTTCCATAGTTCTGTTTGAAGAATGATGTGGCTCATTTAACAGTGCCTCCTGGTCTTGGAAGAGGGTGGGGGTGGAGTGGAGGGTTGGGAGCAGGGCTGGAGGCTTGGAGTTGGAACGTTTCCCAAGTCTGGCATTTCCACATTCTGGCTGTTTCCTTTCTGGCCAGTTATTTCCCTTCTATGAGTTTAGATTTCCACATCTGAGAAATGAGGATAATAAATCCTACCTACCTCACGCAGTTGTTAGGACGTGCTAGCGAGATATTAATAATCACCACAAAGCTGGCGGCAAACACCGAGTGCTTATTATGGGCTTGGCATGGGGCTATGCCCCGCACACGTGTTATCTGCTTTAACCTTTCCAGCAAATACGATTGTCCCCCTTTTACAGATGGGAATGCTGAAGCCTAGCCAATGACTAGCCTGAAGCCATACAGTAAGTAAAGGGCAGCAGGGCTGAGATTCTAGAATGATGGAGGACAAACCCTTTGCAAAAAAAAAAAAAAAAAAAAAAAAATTTATTGCATTAAATCCAAGTAGACTCAACTCAGATTACATTTTGCTTTGAAATGTTCTCTGGGGTTGCTACCAAGTGAAACAGTTAAGAGACCAAATCCTCAAGCCAAATTGGGTTTAAAACTTCCCGGGCATGTAACCTTAAGTTACTTGACCTCTCTGTGCCTCAGTGTACTCATTTGTAAAGTGCGGTTGTACACGTATTGTTGGTGTTACTAATACTAATGGTAACAACTATGTAACATCTGATGATTAACACTACTTATCGGTAACAAACCTTGTAGGTCATTGTGAGGATTAAATTAGCTCCTGTATTTAAAATGCTTGAAAGACTATCTGAGTTCATTCTTCTAGTATTTGTGTGACTATGTGTGAGAGATTATTAGCTCTGTGACCCTGGGCAGCTTTCTAACCTCTCTGGGCCATGGTTTTATTTGGGTCTGCCTTTCCCCCATTCTCTGTCCCGTAGGGTACCGTATTTTTCTGCTTGAGGATCACTTTCCCTTCCTTGGTATGTCTCTATTGGGTCTTGAGCTCAAGAATTGCTTAACTGATCCCATCCTCACATACCTGGCTGCCAGGGGCAGGTATTTACACACTCTGTTCCAGGTAAATCCTGCTGGATAGCTAGAAGGAGGTCAGGAAATGTAGTAGACTTTGCAATTAATCTGTCTGCCTGAGTGAGTCCTGCTTTTAAGAATACACTGTGTTTCTGGAAAGAAAGTCAAAATTGACATAAACCCGTAATTTATGGTGAGACTAGCATTTTTATGAACCTCTTTATTCCCTTTTTGACCTGCTTTTGAAAAAGATTCCTGTAGCCACTGGTGTTAGAAACTAGAATCTAAAGGTTAGTGCTCTGGCGAATTAATTTAGCAAGTTTTAAAGCCGTTGCCGAGACGAACCTGTCAGATAGCGTCATACTCTAGTTACAGGGTGTGGTGATAAAAATACCGGGCTGGGCATTTGGGGACAGGAGTTTTTTTTTTTTTTTTTTTCTCTCTGCTATAATTTAGTTCAACTGCAATTTTGTCTTCAAGTGGCGAAGGCCAAGAACTGGGCAGTAAGTGATGGGCCATCTGTTCTTCTCTCCTCATTAATGTCTGTGTTGGGAGCTTTGGTTGGTTCTCTTCAGCTTTCTCTTTTGTCCTTCTTCCCGGCAGCTCCCCATTCTCCTCCCTGCACCTGGGGCTGGAAGAGAAGCTGAGCCCTGGTTGGGCTAAGCCAGTCACGGTGTTTTCAATCCCCTTGCCCGCGTTAGGTGTAGGCATAGGCTTGTGACGCCATTCTGGCCAGTGAGACCTGGAAGACCCGAGAGATGTTTCCGGAAAAGGTATCCATATTATGGCAAAAAGACACAGAAAAGGTGTGGCCCCTTTTCTCCGTGGTTCAGGTCCAGCTGTGAGGGCTGGAATAGGACAGTCACTGTATGACTGCAAAGGGAGCTAAGAGGACACAGTGAGGCGGGCAGAGCAGAAGGAAAGAGCCTGGGTCCTTGGTAATGTCATCAAGCCCTCAGATTAATCCACCCTGAAGCCACCTTTCCTCTGGACTTCTTGCGTGGTTGAACGCTCTCCAAATTGGGGCTTTTTGCTGTTTGCAAACCAGTGATTCCTAGATGATACCGTCTCTCACAGAGGAGCTTACAAACCAGAGAGGAGCAA